TGACCACTCCCCCTCTCTCTCCTTTTTTCTGGATCCTCCTCCCAATCATGCCCTCTGACCAAGGTGTCCCTCAGGATTCTGTCCTGGGCCCTCTTCTCTTCTCCCTCCATTAGACTTCACTTGGGGATCTCATCAGCTCCCATGGATTTGATGACCTCTGTGTTGATGATTCCCAAACCTACCTTCCATGCCCCCAATCTTTCTGCTGATCTCTGATGTCACATCTCCAACTGCCTTTCAGACATCTTGAACTGGATGTCCAGCAGACATCTTAAATTCAGTATGTACAAAACAGAACTGATTATCTTTCCCCTGAATACTCCCCTCTCCCACCTTTCCTGTTAGAGGAGAGGGTGGCACCCTGCTCCCGTCCCTCCGATGCACAATCCTGGCGCCGTCCTGGACTCCTCACTCTCTCTCAGCCCCCACGTCCAGGCTGGTGCCAAGGCCTGGCAACATCACCTCTGCAGCATCTCTCTACTGATGCTGCCCCTGCACTGGTCCAGGCCCTGGTCACCTCCCACCTGCATTGTTTCAATAGCTTTCAGGTGTGGGGGGGGGAGGGGAGAGACGTTTCCGTCTGCCTCAGGTCTCTCCCCACTCCAACCCATTCTTCATTCAGCCACCAAACTGAGTTTCCTAAAGGAGGGTCTGACCGCATCACCCTCCCTATTCAATAAACTCTGGTGACTTCCTATTGCCTCCAGGAGCAAATCCAAACTGCTTGGTTTGGCATTCAAAGCCCTTCATTTTATTATTATTATTATTATTTGCTTTTTGGTGAGGCAATCAATCAGGGTTAAGTGACTTGTCCAGGGTCACACACCTAGTAAGTGCCAAGTGTCTGAGGTTGGATTTGAACTCAGGTCTTCCTGACTCCAAGGACGGAGCTCTGTCCACTGCACCACCTACCTGCCCCACAGCCCTTTATAACCTGCTCCTTACTTCCTTTCCAGTCTCCTTATACTTTTCCCTGACATGTTTCCTTTGATTAAGTAATATCGGCCTCCCTGCTGTCCCATAAACAAGACCCTCCATCTCTCAGCCCGACATTCTCTCTGGCTGTCCTCCAGTCCTGTAGCTTTCTCCCTCCTCTGCTCCAATCACTGACCTCCCTAGCTTCCTTTATGTCCCAACTAAAAGCCCACCTTCTCCAGGAAGCCTTCCCCAAACCCTCTTCATTCCAGTGCTTTCCCTCTGTTCATTATCTCCTATCTATCCTGTATATAACTTGCTTTTTATGTATTTGTTTGCTTGTGGTCTCCCCATTAGATTGGAAGTTTTCTGAGGGCAGGGGCTGTCTTCTGCCTCTTTTTGTGTCCCTAGTGCTTAGTTCAATGCCTGGCACATAGTAGTCTCCTTATAAAATGTTTATTGATTGATCGATGCAAGAGCTACAGAGGTAGGATTGATAAGATGTGGTGAGATTCAGTGAAAAAAATTTACATATCCATATATATGTATATATGTATGTGTGTATGTGTGTATGTGTGTGTGTGTGGGGAGAGAGAGAGAGAGAGAGAGAGAGAGAGAGAGAGAGAGAGAGAGGGAGAGAAGCTACTTTATGCAAAGTGAGGCAGGGGGAAATTGAGAAATGGTACAAACTAGTTCGGCCACCCTTCCTGATAGGGTTCTCCCACCCCACAAAATGATAATAGCCAGGCTAGCATTTAAGGTTTACAAGACACTCTGCCAATATTATAATTTAATCCTCAGGACAACCTATAGAGGCTATTGCTATTATTACACCTGTTTTATAGTTAGAGAAACTGAGTCTGAGAGAGGTTAAGTGACTTGCCCGGGGTCATACAGCTAGGAAGCGTCTGAGGTCATATTTGAACTCAGGAAGAGGGTGTTTCTGACTCCAGGCCCAGCATTCTCTCCACTGCTCTACCTAGCAGCCTCATAATACAAAATTCCATAATATTTGCCCTGTGTGTGGAACAGTGGATAGAGCACCAGCCTGGAGTCATTAAGACTCTTCTTTGTGAGTTCAAATCTGGCCTCAGACACTTCCTAGCTATGTGACCCTGGGCAAGTCACTTTACTCCGTTTGCCTCAGTTTCCTCAACTGCAAATGAGCTGGAGAAGGAAATGGCAAATTACTCCAGTGTCTCTGCCAAGAAAACCCCAAATGGGGTCATGAGGAGTCAGACACGACTGAATAACAGCAGATTTTGAGTCTCTCGGAGTAGCAGAAGGTAAATTCCAGCCTACTTTTCTCATCTTATAATGAATCGCTCTCTTTCACCCAGTCTACCATCCAGGTGAATTGACCTTCTTACCATTCCTTGCACAAGGCTTTATCTCCGACCTCCATACCTTTGCATAGGCTGTACCTCATGCCTGGAATGCATCTCCTACTTGCTTCTTCTTAGCTCAGATGTCATCTTCTCCATGAGACCTTTCTTCTTGATTTTGCCTGCTCCCCTCACCTCCCTCCTCAGTCTTTCCCTTGAAATTGCCTTGTACATATTTTGTATACTTATTTATGTGGGTGTTGTCTTCCTGGATAAAAATGTAAGCTTCTTGAGGGCAGGGACTGTTCCCTTTTTGTCTCGGTTCCCAGGGCCCAGGACCTAATAGGTATTTAATACACATTTATGGGTTGTCTAATGTCCCACAGCTAAGGACTCTGAGAGCTGAGACTTGAACCCAGATCTCTTGAAAATGATGGATTTGGAGTCAGAGGACCTAGGGCTGAAATTGAAATTGGCTATTGATGACTGGTACGAGTCCCAACTCCCCAGCAAGTGATCTGGCCTGGTTGGGCCTCCATGTCCTCTTCTGCAGAATAAGGGGATGAGGCTAGCCAGTTTCTAAGGTTCTGTGACTTCCAGCCTAGGGCTGGGGTGGCTGCCCTGCCCGGGCTCCGCCCTGCTTTGTTCAGTCTCTGGCTCCCCTCAGCCCTTGGCAGACCCGCTGTCTGCTGCCCAGCATGACTAAGGGTTGACGTGAGGCCTGATCAGAGGAGCATTGCTGCAGCGCAGATCCAGGGCGGAAGCCAGCTGGCTCAGAGTCCACTGCACCGCCAGGAACCACCCGCCTGGCTTTATGGGCACTGCCCAGGGGAGCCAAGTTCTGGGAAGGCTGTGGCCTGGTGCAGTAGAGGAGCCCAGAAGGGTCCATGGAGGAATTTGGGAGGGGCCAGAGGAGGAAGAGTCAGGCCAAGCAACAGTGGGCACAGCAAGGCCTGTCCTCACCAGGGGCCAGCTGTACGAGCTCAGCCGGGCACTCGCCCCACTGTCTTGGTTTCCTCATTTATGGAGAGAGAAATCACTGTCCCAACCCCACCTCCACCCACCTCCCAAGGACAGAGATGGAATAGGAGGTGGCCTTGTCTGAAATGTGCAGGCTGTGGATGTTTAACTGTCACCCCAAGCAGGGAGGGGCCGCGCACAGGTGTGTCCGAAAGGGCAAACGCCGGACAGCTGCAGAATCAGAGCCACCCAGCCGTGGGCTCCTGGAAGAGTCCCTCCCGCCCGGAAACACATAGACAACCACATCGTAAACACAGGCACCTACACACACAGATGACCCTCGCTCGGCTACACGGCTTCACCCCCTCCCCCAGACCATCATATACAGGTGCCATGAGGCCCAGAAGCACGGAACCCCAGTCTCAGCTGTGTGCATCTCAAGGCCAGTTGTTGGGTCTTTCGGGACCTCCATTACCTCGTTTAAAAACAGGGTAAATGGCATTTTTCAGGTCTCATCACCAGGAACCTCCAATTTATCCTATTCAGAGTTGTTTGCATGGTGTCCCTTCCATTAGACTGTAAGTTCCTTGAGGGCAGGGACTGACTTTTGCCTTTCTTTGCAACCTTAGAACTTAGCAAAGTGTCTGGTATACAGGAGGTGCTTAATAAATGCTGAATCTCAAATGTGGTTCAGTGGTTTGGAGTTAGAGATCCTGGGTTCAAATCCTGTCTCTGCCACTTTCTAGCTGGTGATTTTGGGTGAGGAACTTGACCTCTCTGGGGTTCAATTTCCTTGTTTGTGAAATGAAAGACTGGCACTGAGGTGTAGCACCCTGGGGGAAAAGTATTGGTTTTAAGAGTCAGAGATTATCGTCGTTGAGTCATTTTCAGTTGTGTCTGACTAGGGTTTTCTTGGTAAAGATACTGGAGGGTTTATCTTTTCCTTCTCCAGATCGTTTGACAAATGAAGAAACTTGAGGCAAGCAGGGTTATGTGACTTGCCCAGGGTCACACAGCTAGAAAGTGTCTGAGGCCAGATTTCAAGTCAGGTCTTACTGACTTACTTACTGAAGGGTACTTTACCCACTGAGCCACCTAGCTGCCCCTAGGCTAATTGTTCTTAAAGGTTCCTTCTAGCTTTCCACGTTAATCTATGACAGGGATTCTTCACCTAGGGTCCACAGACCTCTACAAGGTCCACATATAGATTTCAGTGGAGATCCATGAATGTGGAAGGGGGGGGAAATGCATCTTTATTTCAAGATAATTGATTCTATTTTATGCATTAAAATCATTATTCTAAGATCAGAGGTTCATGGGTTCTACCAGGCTGCCCAAGATGTACATGGACCACCCCCCCCCCCGCAAAAAAAAGTTGAGAACCTCTGATTTAGGCTATGAAACGAGGCAGCACTTAGAAAGGACTGACAATTACTGTATGGTCACACGCACACACCCTAGCACACACATATGTCCCACCACACATGACATGCCCTACCATGCATGCACATGCCCTGCCATGCAGGCACATGCCCAATCATACATGCATGTCTTACCATGCATGCACACAAATACCTGCGCATGTCCTACCACACAGTCCTACCATGCATGTACACGTCCTGCCATACATGCACATGCCCTAGCACACATGTACATGCCCTACCATACACACACATACCCTACCATACACGCACACACACACATTGGCACACATAGCCTCACCAAGCTCTCCCCTCTCCAGTCAGCCCCCATCCAATCATCCATACGCCCAGAGACAAAGGTCACAGGTCCTACTTTATTTCATCCGTAGACATTAGTGTTCAGCTTGGTCCTGCACATTTGGATGAAACTGAGCAGAATTAGCAGCAACACAGCCATGACCATGACAGTCTCAATCACGGAGTAGATGTGGACAAACTCAGACCGGGCGGGCGCCACCGGTGTGTTGTGGGTCCGGGTGGGATCAAAGCGCCCCACCAGCTTGCGGCCCACGTAGCATCGGTAAGTGCCAGAAGTGGACACCTGCAGGCGGCTGCCTCCGGAGGGGAGGTCCAGGATCGGGCCTGAGTTGTTGGGAGCCAGCTGCTGCAGCCAGGTTGGGGAGATGTTGTCAGACTCCCAGCTCACTGGCCTACAAGGGAAACACATCATCTGCCTTCCCACTCCTGATGTCTGAGCATCCCCACAGCCAGGGTTACCCCAGGTCTAGCCTCGCTCCCTCCATCTCATACCTGTGAAATTGATTTTCTAATCTAAGCCTAAGACTTTACATGTATATCCCAATTAAGTTTCAGCATTCGAGTCTTCCCAACATTCCTGGATTTCATCAGGGTATCCAGAAAGTCACCCAAGATCACATCAGCTCTGAAACTTATACCTCCTCTGTACCCCCGCCCCCATTCCCTGGGGTCCCTCCCTCCCTCTGATTGGAGAGGGGGGAGGGGGGAGATCTGAGCGCTCCTCCCATATATCCCATTTGAGGAGGGGGCCTAGAGGGCAGTCATTTCAACATTTCCCACAAGCTGCAGGCTGCACTTCTCCAGGACTTCTTCCTTCCCCTTCCCTCCCTGCTTTTCACTTCTTTTGATGCCTTGTCTTCTCACATTAGAATGTAAGCTCCTTGAGGGCAGGGCCTGTCTTCTGCCTTTGTAGCCCTTAGCAAAGTACCTGGTACACAGTAGGTGCTTAATAAATGCTTGTTGACTGACCACAGACTATCTATACAGCTCTTTTGTTAAGATCTGGAGTTTTGTTGGTCACCCCTTCACGATTCTTGTCCTCTGCAGATGGGATAATGTGCTGTCCCTGCCTTCAATCCAAGTCATTGAGAAAAAGAAAACTAAATCACACGGGCCTAAAGATGAGGGAATGCCACTGTCCCTCCATTACACTCCTGGGGTCCCTGCAGGGTCTGAGTGGAGCGAAGTGGAAGGAAGGAAACATACTTTATTTCAAAACAAATCAAAAGATCACAGATGCCTTTCCAGGCCATTGAGTCTAACCCTTTCTCTTTCCAGAGGAGAAAACGGAATCCAGAGCATTGAAGTGATTTGCTTCAGGGCCCACAGCTCCTAAGTGTCTAAGGCGGCATCTGAACCCATACCTTCCTGACTCCAGGTCTAATGCTGTAGTCAACTCAAAAGTCAAACAACCTCACAACTAATCCAGCTTCATTAGCTGAAGGTATGTTGAGTATACAAGATGGTCTAAGGGCTGGGGTGTGTCTCACAGCTAAACACGTTTCTGAACTCTAAAGAAGTTTGTGTTCTCCAGCTGTTTGGAAGGAAGGAGTGGAGACGAGGGGAAAGCTGAGGAAGGAGCAGCCATAAGGCAGTTTAGGGAACCCCAGGGCAGGAAAAAAGTTAGGGTTTGGTGAATAAGTCACCCAGAGTTGAGGTAATTAGTACCTTAGGAAAATAAGGACCAACTCTCAAAGGGAGGTGCCTAGAAGCTGCCTCCTAAGAGGCCGGATTTACCTAAAGGAGGAAAATGCCAGCTGGGGAAGGCACAGAGGTGGTCTGTGGGCGAGAGGACAGTTTGGGGGCAAGGTGCCTGGATCCTGTTACCTGTAGATGGTGGCAAAGGGACAGCTGAGCCAGACAGTGCTGTTTTCTTCCAGCTTGTAAGTCCCATAAAGCACCACGGTGGATTCAGGGCTGTTGTGCTCACAGGGGACAAAGCAGCTTTCGATCTGCAGCTCAGGCCCCCGTTGGAGCTTTTGTGGGCTAAGGTCGGCCAGCCCACAGGGCAGCCCATGGTCCGATCTCGTGGCATAGCAGAGGCCCACGCGCTTCCGTTCCCCCTGAACGCCACAGTGGTCACAAGCCTGCCAGGGCCCCCACCGGGTAAAGAGTGTCCACTGGGTGATATTTCCCACCGTCTGGTTCCTCAGGGGTTGTTGTTCCAGCCCACTGTGGCTGAGATAGAGCTTGGCCCCATCCTGGAAGTCCACGTTGTACACTGCCCTGGTGTTACCTGCCTCATCTTGGCAGCTATAGGTGCCTGATTGGTCTGTGGAGGTGTGTAGTAGATGGAGGTCCCCACTGACCTCTGGGACCACCAGCTTCTTCCTGGGGAAGGGATGGGATAGGGGCTGGAAGAACCAGGTGGAGTCTTTGGTAGGGCAAGATAGAGTGGTTGGGTTGGGGGTGATGAAGGCCAGGCAGGAGTGACCCCCCGGGGGACACCTAAGGGATTCCAAGGCCCCAAGCCCAGGAAAAGAAAGATAGAGAAACACCAAGATGGAAGGCATGGTGGAGTGGGGGTAGTAGAGGAAGCAGGGTGGTCTGGTTATTGTGAAGTCACAGTAATAGAACCTAGGAAGCCTGCCTCCCCTTCCACCAGCCTCTGCTCCCCCCGCCCCTTCCTCCCATGCTCTTCAGATGTAAGTGTCTTATAATCCACAGAAGTGTTAAAGAACACAGCCAAATAACAATAACAATTCATTTCTATTTCAAAGCACATTCCTCCTAGTTATATACATATATAGATAGATGGACATATATATATATATAAAATCTTTTTTTCTTAAATTTATTTAATACTTTATTTTCCCCCAATTACATGTAAAAGCAACTTTTAACATTCATTTTTTAAAACTCTGAATTCCAAATTTTCTCCCCTTCCTCACTCCCCACCCCCCTCATTCAGAAGGCAAGCAATTCTATACAGGTTACACATGTGTAGTCATGCAAAACACATTTCCATATTAATCATGTTTGTGAAAGAAAACATAGACCAAAAAAAAAACCTCAAGAAAAATAATGAAACTTATGCTTCTATCTGTATTCAGACACCATCAGTTCTTTCTCTGGAGATGGATGGCATTTTTCATAAGTCCTTCAGAGTTGTCTTGGATCATTGTATTGCCGAGAAGAGCTAAGTCATTCACAGCTGATCATCTTACAATATTGCTGTTACTTTTTACACAGTGCATTTCACTTTGCATCAGCCCATGCAAATCTTTCAGGGCTTCCAGTCTTTCCAGCATCCTGCTCGTCATTTCTTATAGTGCAATGGTATTCCATCACAATCACATAGCACAATTTGTTCAGCCATTCCCCAGTTGATGGGCATCCTCCCAATTACCAACTCCCTGCCACCAGAAAAGAGCTGCTATAAATATTTATAAGTCCTTTTCCCTTCTTTATGATCTCTTTGGGATGTAGACCTAGTAGTGACATTGCTGGGTATGCACGGTTCTATAGCGCTTTGGGCATAGCGCCAAATTGCTCTCCAGAAGGTTAAATCAGTTCACAACTCTACCAACAGTGCATTAATGTCTCATTTTTCCCACATCTCCTCCAACATTTGTCATTCTCCTTTTCTACCCTGTTAGTCAATCTAATAGGTACAAGGTACTGCCTCAGAATAGTTTCAATTTGCATTATTCCAATCAATAGCGATTTAGAGCACCTTCTCATATGGCTATAGATAGCTTTGATTACTTCATCTGAAAAGTGTTCACATCTTGATTGTTTATCAACTGGAGAACGGCTCCTATTTTTATAAATTTGACTCAGTTCTCTATATATTTGAGAAATGAGGCAGATAGGTAAAATTCAAATCTTAAACAAGTGCTTCTAGGCTACCACAGAGTCCAGGGAGGGGACCACATCCACTCTCTGTTCTGGACCCAAGCATGTGGTTTGACAGGGTTCAGTCCTGGGGAAGCCCAACTCTAATGAGAGAGGACTCCCTTTTCTCACCCTCACTTTCTCCTTCTTTGCCATGCTGTCTCCCATACTGGCAACCCTGGGATGATTTTACTCATATCTACAGCTTCCACAAAAAGAAGGAATCAGAAAAGTACTCAATGCTTTATAAGAATCAGAGATGGGACAGGTAATTTATTCCTGCACACAAAAGGAATGCTAAACACAGGACACATACAAAGGCAAACTTAAACTAGGATTCAGTGACAACTTATAACTAATGTTTCTATCTGCCAGGAGGCTGGCTGATCATCAGATTTCATCAGAACAGCAAGCAGTTAGCACGATTGCTCCTTAGGTGTTCTATGCACTTGTGTTGTGCACTCTTAGTACACGTCTGCTGCAAAAATGGCCAGACTTGGGCCAACTCTCTTTGTAGTGGCTGAGCTCTGCCATGCAGATGTATTCCCTGCCATGAGCTACTGCTGCCACTCTGGTGAATGCCACTGGCACCCGCCATTTTGGGGCCACTGCTACTGCTGCTACAAACCCCTGGACCTCTCAAACTCAAAAGGTTTCCTCCAAGCCCCGGATAGCTTCATGTCCAGTGAAGTCAACAACCATCCTTTATTTAAGCACCTACTATGTGTCAGCACTTTGCTGGGGATTCAAAGGTAAACAATAACAAAACCAACAAAAGTTTCTCCTTTCAAGGAGCTCACATTCTAACAGAGACAACACGCAAACAATTATGTACAAACCAAAAAAATAGGAAGAATAAATTAGTGATGATCAAGAGGACCCAAAGTTAAGAGGGTTCAGGAAAGGCTTCTTGCAGAAGGTGGGATTTTAGCTGGGACTTAAAGGAATCCTGGGAAGCCAGGACACAGAGATGAGCAGGAGAGAGAATTCCGGGCATGAGGGACAGCCAGTGAAAGTTCTCTGTCAGAAGTTGGGAGTGCCTTGTAGGAGGAACAGCTAGGGGGCCAGTATCACTGAATCACAGAGCGTTTGGTTAGGAATAGGGTGTATAAAGACCGGAAAGGAGGGTGGCAGATTATGAAGGGCTTGGAATAGCAAATAGAGGACTTCACATTTGATCTTGGTGATGACAAGAAGTCACTGGAATTTATTAAAAGGAAAAGGAAACAAAATAGAAAAAAGCACCCAGGATTCCGTGCACAAAACTCTCTGAGTGGAAAAATCCTCAAACCCGGTGCCTTTGTGGGCATGGTCACCATGATACCAAGGTGCAGAAAAGTCAGAGATTTCTCGCCTTCATGGGAGGTGCCAAATTTATATGATGTCAGCTAGAGAGTCAAAAGCACTGGTTTTTTAAAAAACATATTTAAAGGACTTATTGCAATTAAGTTACAACATTTTGATCATCAGTATTGTATGGAAGGAAGTATACAGATAAAACAATTACTTTGTTGGAAATAAAATTTGTGTGTGTGGCCAACTGCTGGTTGACTTGTTACTAAAAAGTACAAATGAAATTTTCTGTGTACTTAAGTGCTAAAAGTTACAAGCTTCATTCTCCTTAGTATTACATAAATTAGATTCTATAGTCAAGAACTAATATACATATTATTTCAGACTGAAACCATCATGAGACTAAGGGTGGGGAACCTGTGGCCTCGAGGCCACGTATGGCACTCTAGGTCCTCAAGTGTGGTCCACTTCTGGATTCAGTTAAAGGGCTGCACTTGAGGACCTAGAGGGCCACACGTGGCCTGGAGGCCACAGAGTCCCCATCCCTTATTGAAACCATTAAGTTACCTGCATAATTTGAACTACTCTTTAAAAAGTAAAAACATGTTTAGTATTTTTAAGATAGCCAACAGTTATTTAAGGTACCTGTAGATATTTCTAAAGAAAAAAGTATGGCTAATGAAAAGATGCCGTTTCTTAGTTTTCCTTAGCAAGACCATTGGTGGTAGATCATGTCTTAGTAGCTGTATTTGGAAATGCTGACCTTGAGAAAGAGTACAACCTCCCATTTCCTACTCTAATGAAATGGGAAACGTTCTGTTCTTTTAACTGACATGGCACTGTAGATTCCCTGCTATCACCGTGCATTGGGGAGGAAGTGGAAGGAGGACCAAGAGATCAGGGGCTTGCCGTTTCATGCTAATATGCTAAGTCCTCCCAATGTTGGACCACTACAAAGTACTCATGTGTTTAAACCAAAACCAGGAAGGTCAATTCTGATAATAGCTCCTGTTACATCATAGAAAAAGATATATAGGTGGCGCGGTGGATAGAGCACCGGCCCTGAAGTCAATCTGGCCTCAGACCAAACACTTGACGCTTACTAGCTGTGTGACCCTGGGCAAGTCACTTAACCCCAATTGCCTAAAAAAAAAAAAAAAGATATAGATAAAATAAAATACTATATGCAGGGAGCAAGCATATTATTTTCCTCATTCCACAAAGGAGAAAACGGAGGCCCAGAGGTTAAGTGATTTGCCCAATATCACAGTTAGTGTGAGGAGCAGAATTTCAATTTTTCAGCCCCACCAGGATATCTAAGGGGGAAAGCGATTGGTGCCACAGGAAAGGTCCCAACAAAGGAAAAATATTATAGCCATTCAGACGAGATCAGGACCGGCTTTCGGGAAGAACTAGAATTTCAGTTGAGCTATGAAGGAGGGCCAGAGCTGGGGGATGGAAGAAGGCATTCCTGGCACCCAGAATGGTGTGGGCAGAGCTTAGAAGGGTCCTTAGAGATTATTTAGTCCAAGCGTTTTGTGTTTTTTTCTTTGGTAAGGCAATAGGGGTTAAGTGACTTGCCCATGGCCACACAGCTAGTAAGTGTCATGTGTCTTGAGACTGAATTTGAACTCATGTCCTCCTGACTTCAAGGCCTGAGTTCTATACACTGCACCACCTAGCTGCCCCAGTCCAAGCCTTTTAATTTACAGATGAGGAAACTGAGGCCCATAGAGGTGGGGAGGGGAGTAAAAAAACTCCACCCACCGATGGCAGTGGGACCTTGGGACGAACCTCTAATTTGTCTGGAGGGGAAAGTCTTAGGCCATAGCGATGGAAAAGAGGTCAGCGCCAGATTTCAGAGGGTCTCAATATGGGACCTGGCCTTTGCTCTGGGGAACTAGGCATTCCAGCACCCAGCGCCTCCCCGTCCTCTCATGTTCTTCTTCGCCACATCCACCAGGTGGCAGGAAGAGCCGATCTCCCCTGGGTTCTGCCCCTTTGGACAAGTGAAGCCAGGAAACCTAGGAGAAGAGAGTTATTTATTCCGTGGGCCGGACTTGGCAAGAACTCCTTCGCACCAAAGCTGCCCCTTTAAGAAGCTCAGGTTCCCGGGCAAGGGGCGGAGGGGGAGTGGTGTTGACCTCTGGGAGGGACTCCTGGGAGCTGTACCATGAAACTAGGAATAGAGGGAGGGTACCCAGGAGGATAGTGGCCCACTTACCCTCAGTCCCCGACGGACACATCCAGAGTTTTACTTTGACGAGAATCAGTTAATCTGTTAAATTAATTTAATTAGGCGGAGACTCGAGAGGGAGAAGCCTCTAAGAAAAGTTGTGCGGAGAAAGTTGAGAGTGTTGAACTACTAGTCAAAGGTTTACCC